GGAGACATTCTTCATTGGCTGGTGGTCAATTCGCCCGAAAATGCCGTTGAAAAGGGGGACACTCGCGTCGAGTACATCGGCAGTGGACCACCAAAAGCGGTCGGCATTAATCGTTACGTGTTTTTAATTTTCAAGCAAGCTGGTCTACTGAATTTGACAACGGAGCGCACGTCCAACAGCAGTATCAGTGGAAGAATGAACTTTGACTTAAAAGGTTTCATCAAGNGTGTTTTTAATTTTCAAGCAAGCTGGTCTACTGAATTTGACAACGGAGCGCACGTCCAACAGCAGTATCAGTGGAAGAATGAACTTTGACTTAAAAGGTTTCATCAAGGAGAACGGACTTCAAGAACTGGTAGCAGCCAACTTCTACCGGGCAAGCTATACGATTATGTGCCACAGCTTTTTAAACAACTGGGACTGGAAACCCCTCATTAAAAATTGCTGAGAGCCTCCAATCATCAAAATAAATAAAAAATAAATGTATTCACTAGCAGACAATTGATATCGAATGACATTTTGATTAACTGTACTGTTTGTGCTTTTGCACTTGACGTTCTCAAAACGTTTCCAATATGATGATAAGGAGGTACAGGGACAGTGATAAGGGACAGTTATACTATTATATAATCTGCTCACAATTTGACTGCTAAAGTAGTGGTAACTTTTCAGACCAAGTCATCTTCGTTGACTAATTTTTTGTAATTAAAAAATGGAAGCGCACGGTGTAGTCCCTGACTCAATTGACTCTGTCCCAGAGCACGTTGCTGAGGTGCAGTTTCCAAGTGGTGCGTCAATGTCACTTGGCAATGAACTGACTCCTCGACAAGTGGCAGATGTTCCCATTGTGCTTAGGTGGCCGCTTGAACCGGGTGCCCTCTACACTGTCCTGAACATTGACCTGGACGCTCCGTCGCGAGAGATACCCACCTACAGAGATGTGGCCCATTGGCTGGTGGTTAATGTGGACGATGACGGCGACATTACCAAAGGCGATACAGTGCACGCATACGTTGGAGCTGGTGCACCGGAAGGTAAGTTTAGAGCTTGCTGCAAGACATGATCTTTCATGGTTTAACTTTGCCTCCTCTACAGGTACAAAGCTACATCGATATGTCATACTGGTGTTTAAACAATCCGCCAAAATTGATGCCCAATCGATTCCCAGCGGCACACTAAAGGACCGTCTTGGCTTCAACACCAGAGCACTGATTGCTCAGCACAAACTGTCGCTGGTGGCAGGCAATTTCTACCTGGCCCAGTGTGATGATAGTGTGCGTGAACGGCGAGCCAAACTGGTGGAGGCCGCTTTCAAGACGCACCAGGTTGTGCCTGATGTGGTCGACCAGGTGCCGAAGTTCTGTGCCGAGGTAGTCTATCCCAATGGAACGCTCATCCTTTCTCATGGTGAAGAGCTAACTCCCACTGTGGTGAAAGACATTCCTGCAGTGTTTGCCTGGCCAGCTGAAGCCGATGCACTGTACACTGTCCTCTTTGTGGATCCTGATGCGCCCAGTCGGGCTGATCCACGTCTTGGCCAGTTTCTACATTGGCAGGTGGTGAATGTCAAAGGGAATGACATTAGCACTGGAGACACTATCGCCGAATTCATCGGCTCTGGCCCACCAAAAGATACTGGATTGCACAGATATGCTTTCCTTGTTTACCGGCAGTCTGGAAAGATCAACTGGACAAAGGAAAGAATTTCAAACAAAAGTGCTACTGGCCGAAGTAACTTCAAAGTGCGTGACTTTGTGAAGGAGCATCACCTGAGCGAGCTGGTTGCCGGAAGTCTGTATCAAGCGCAGTTTGATGATTATTGTCCGCTTCTGCACGCCCAACTGGGTTTCTAATGAAACAAAGTCTTTGTAGTGTGTTGGACACCCAAAACAAACACAAATGGCGCCATTTTATATTGACTACCAATAAATTCTCTATCGTCTATTCCTCAACCATAAAACTGTGTGCTTCATTGCCAGTGTGATGTTGCTGTTGTTCTCTGTGCAAGTACTGATCCACTGATCCCTCACACTGTGTAGTATCCATGACCACCAGCATCATTGATATACGATCCAGTGGAATGTGCCTGCACTGCTGATGAGCAGTCAGTCGGCCAATCCAATCAGCTCACTCAAGTGCTTTGATGTTGATGTGCGCGAGTTGATCTCTCCGCCGTTTCCCGGTAGCAGCCGCCCCCCACTTCTTTCAATGCCCACTGCAATCCCCTTCTTCTTCTCACTTCTCAATGCTCTCAATCGTCTTAGTGTACTGCTGGATTCGATCACTGCTCTATCCACCACCGACGACGGCCACCACCGACATGGACGACACTGAAAAACTGTTCACCGACGCCGGCCTGCTGCCTGATGTCTTGCCCAGCGCTCCGCCGGCGCTCGCCCAGCTGGTCTTCTCGCCCGAGACGGCGGCTGTGGCCCCAGTGGCACCCGGCGCCGAGTTGACGCCCCGTCAGGCNCGCCCCGCCAGGCCAAGGACGCCCCCGCCACGGTGAAGTACCCCACCGAACTGGGCTCGCTGTACACACTGCTGCTGGTGGACGTCGATGCGCCCACGCCCACTGATCGCTCCCTCAGTCAGGTGGTGCACTGGATGATGCTCAACATTCCCGGCAATGACATCAGCCTGGGTGAGTCGTACTTTGAGTACCTGGGCCCGGGCACGCCGGAGAACGCCGGTCTGCACCGATATGTGATCAGCGTTTTCAAGCAGAACTCGGTGCTGACGCTGGAGCACCCCCCGCAGAGCAGAGAAGGTCGACTGAAGTTCAGCACCGTCGACTTTGCCGAAAAGCATAATCTAGAGCTAGTGGCGGCCAACTTCTTCACCTCACAGTTTGACCAGACCATCCGAGCGCAGAAAGCCTCCAAGCTGGCCATGGCCATAAAGGTGGACGGCATTGTGCCGGACGTCATTGACCATCCTCCGGCCAGCATTGCCGATGTCAAATTCGCCTCCGGCGTGTCGATGAACCTGGGCAGCGAGCTGACGCCCACGCAGGTCAAGGACCAGCCGGTCAGTGTTCGCTGGCCAACCGAGCCCGGCGCCCTCTACACACTCGTCTTCACCGACCCGGACGCTCCCAGCCNCCGAGAACGACATTGAGAAGGGCGACGTCTACTCGGAGTACATCGGCAGCGGACCAAAGGAGGACTCCGGAGTGCACCGCTACGTCCTGCTTGTCTTCAAACAACCGAAAGGCCGCCTGGAGTTGGATCGACCGAAAGCGAGCAACCGAAGCTCGGAGGGGCGTTACGCCTTCAAGACACGTCACCTCGTTGATGAGTACAAGCTGGGCACGCCGGTGGCAGCCAACTTTTTCACTGCAAAGTACGACGACTACGTGCCCATCCTTCACCAGCAGTTGACGGGCTGAGCAATTGCAACAATTGGCTAGTGGGCCAAAAGCAAGTTGTGGTGTGTCCAGCNAACTGTTTTTTCCATACTACTACTAAACCAGAGACTAATAAAGAGAAATGATTAGAGTACAGTATCAGCAGTAGAGTACTCTGTGTGCAAGGGAGATGATAAACGCGTATAAATGGTCCGGCACTGGCCAAACCGCTGCACTGCACTGCCGGTACTCAGCTCCAAGTTACATAAGACTGTCATAATAGTGGCAATATTATTGATTGCAAAACA